CGTAGTTGGTGTTTTCTGAAGGGAGACGGAAAGTAACATGTAATGTGTTTTATTTCGGCCAGACGTGGCTTTTGAGCATCGGGGAAACGGAACCGTGGTTGCAGCTCCACTGTGCAATGGCCCTGCCAGCTCCCGAGGCTCATCAGGATGCAGGCAGAGTGCAGGGCAGAGCATCCATCCTACACCCACATCCATTAGCGAGATGATTAAACCTGCACCAGCCCCTCGCTGCAATACAGCAACTGTAATGGGGCATTGTTACAAGATCAGTGCTTCCTGGTTCAAAATAAGCATGAGCATTTACACCGCAGCAGCGTCCGGTGCTCCCAGCTGCGCGTGCTCCTTTCCTGCTCATACCTTTTCATCAGTGTAACCCACTCTGTGGCAGAATTCCAAGGCATCACGACTGCAAATATTATCTGTGGCAAGTTGGATAATGGCTGTTTTTGTTGCGAGCTTTCCTTCCTCTCATGAAGAGCGGATGCATACATATTCTAATAAATTAATCCCATTAAGGCAAAAAAAAAATCTAAGGTAATTATTACATTCATGGAAACCACCTTCCCCAATCTCTCTCAACCATAATACACAGATGCTCGTGTGTGATGTGCCTTTGAATTTTTTACATGTATCTCTGTCACAGGAATAAATGAACTGGGGGGAAAACCACACACACACTGCTGTGGAAATGGCTGTAACTCCCTCCCTTAGGGGTCTGGTTCGCTCATGCACCCCAAATAGTAAATATTCTTGGCGGCTGATCCTCAGGTGCTGAGCATGCAGGGATCATCAGAGGGCCGGGAGCCAGGCAGCAACGCTGTCACTGCTCCCAAGCTACTGGCACCGGCACCGGCTGTTCTGTGCCCGTCAGGTCGTCCGTCACTTGCTCAAGTGTTTCTCCATAGGTTCGGAGAGAACCAGACACTAGCCCGGCTGCTTTCAAACCTCAATGGGCCATTTCTATAATGCCTGTTTTAATGAACTTCTCTCACTGACATTTAATTTACAAGGTGTAAGGGGCCTCCAGATAAAGCAACCCGACCTCGCCGAGACACAGTGGTAATTTTTTTTCTAAAGCACCCAGTTCATTCCCCAGGCACACGGGCAGTGAGAGGGATGGAAACAGCCACATGTATTCATCATGTGGGAATGTGTTCTGGCCATGCCGGAGCCCTGGCTCTCCCTGCTCAGCCTGGAAACACCGGCTGGGTCACGGTGGCAGACAAGACACCGCTGGTGAGCTGAGGTGCCGGGCAGCAAATACCTCCCTCCACCTTGTTCCAGCCATTGATCCCCGGATCTCAAGCATGCCGCGCCTTAGCATGCGTGAGCAGGCTGGGGTTCATTCAGCTCAAAATGAAAAGGCTGCTCAGCTTATTGCGCTGGATGGAGCTTTAGCATCCCTGTGTACCGGGCAGAGCCGTGTGAGGTTTTGTGAGGATGCTCTGCGGCCAGGATGGTGTTGACAAAGGCTCCTTTCACAGTAGCTCTGTCTCGGGAGGGAAAAGGCCTTCTCCACATCCAATCAGGCCAGGGGACCCTGAGGGAGCCGGTGGGCCATGATCCCAGTGCTGCCCTTTGCGTTCCCAGAGAGTGATGGCAGGGTCCGGCTGTGCTGCAAATGCTACAAACGGCACCCATCCATCTACGCTCCGCAGGGGACTTTTAAACACAATTGCATTTCTGCTCGGCTTTGAAAAGCATTCATTCTCAGTAACAGCACACATGGCCAAGTGTAATTAGGATGAGTTTGGTGCCTTCCGGTTACTTGCAAAGTTCTACTCATCCCCTCTGTCACAGGAGACAGGCTCCAAAGGAGACATGGTTACTACGGCAAGCAAAGGACCACTGATGTCTATCCTGGAGAAGGTCTGGGAAGCAGAGCTTCACTCGGGTATACAGGATGACTTACGACGCAGAACCACCTCTCTCTGTGTCCCTGTCTCTCCCTCATAATAAGGGTTTTGCAAACCATAACCAGAAATTTGCACTTGGGCCAGTTATTTTGAGGGACTGCATTTTGGCATGGGCTCTGAGTTTGAAAACACCAAGATTTGTGTACAAAACTAAATAAATAAAATAAAAAAAAATTTACAGACATCATTTGGGAACTGCCAAGCTACTCCACAAGGCACATATGCTACACACAAGCACACACATGCACATACAGGGCTTGCCTTCAAATTAATCTGAAGAGCTATTTAGCTCCGAGCTCTCAGCATTCAGTTCTGTCTGACTCAACACAGCCTGCAGGCTGGACATTGCTATCTGCACACAGCAATGCTGTTCCTAGGATTTGTTTGAAAGCAGTTAGGTTTTCACGGCTCACTGGAGGTTCTTCATTCCCCTTTCTGTGTTATGTAGGTATAAGCCGTCTCTCTAGGCATAAACTGTCCACTGGTAAAAATCAATTTTGATTTTATCAGTATTTATTACTGCTGGTGCCAGCACTTTAAAAGACCAGAGAGGGGAAACATGCAAACTAGGAGGAGGGAAAAATTAAAGCCAGGGCCTCACACCGACAGATAATAGCGCCTGCTGTCTCTAAGAGCTGCTCTGTATCATTGCAAGCTTAAATTATCAACTTAGAAATTCAATCAATAGCAATTGATGAGACTCTGCTACTGAGTCCATCTGTGAGCACTGTGGCGGTGCTTCCAAAGCCAGGACACCCAAGGAGGAGGACAGTGGGGCCGGGAACCACAGAGGGCTTGCCCAGGCTGCTGCACGGCTACCATCGTACCAGCTCTCAGCTTTAAACCTTCCAGAACATCTGGCTCTGCCGTCTCTGGAGACTGCAGACCCCTGGGACAGAGAGAACCAGCCACTATCTCCATTTTGCCTTACTCGTTTTTTTGTGTGTGTGTGTGTGTGTGTGTGTGTGTGTGTGTGTGTGTGTGTGTTTTCTCTATGAAAATTTCAGAAAACACACCTCAAATGTGCACACCTCTCTTCAGGTCCCCAAACACAAGTACTCTTCCGTCAGACACCTCTCTGCCAGTGCAATCTTTACTGATGGGTGACTCGGAGAATTTCCCACTGTGCCTTGCTAATCTCCCTAGTTTCCATCCTCCCTTCAGCCAAGCCCAGACAGCCCTCATCTCTTCAAGAAAGGGCTGCCAGGGGTCATACAAGGAGGGACATTTGTCTATCTTGAGACTTGCTTCTGTCACTGCAGCAAAAGTATGTGCGACCGCTGGCCGGCTAAGGCACCCTCACAGCACACAAACAATCACCTTCCGCGGCCCACACAGTGGCGGCTCCCAGACATGCTTTGATCTCATGCTTTGATCTCGACATCTGCCTGTGCCTGTGAAGATTTCTCTCTAGCACACATGGCCATTCCTTAAGAACACTGGCAGACCTTCGCTCTGACATCAGGCGTCTAGATGACCCCCTCAGGTCCTGCAGGAGTTACTCTGCTCTCAAAGCCTCAGTGCCCCGTGGAAGGCCAGGTGGCAAGTCAAACTGCTCAGTTCAGTCTGAATCCCCTTCCTCGGGGACATGGAAAGGACCCCAGAGACCCACCGGTGACTGGGGAGACCAGGGCTCCTGGGCATTTCCAGAGAACACAACACGGGGGGCCACTCAGGAGACAGGAAGCTAGATACTCAGGCCAGTCAGGCACAGCAGCAGTGTGGCTGAGGTGTCCTGGCCAGGGTTCCTTTAGATGGGCTTGTCCTGTCAGACCCTGGCCTGTCACTGAGGGCCAAGGTCATGGGAGAGAAAGGACAGGGCCTGACATGGCTGCAGTTTTAGTTTCTGTACTGTTAGCTGAAGCCAACCAAAACTATAATGATAAAAGTGTGTGTGTGTGTGTGTGTGTGTGTGTGTGTGTGTGTGTACACAGATGTGTGCACAGTCAAATCATTAAACATGTGTTTCCCACTGATAGAGCTCATTTTAAAATCAACCTTCCATAGCACACTAACGATGATTAATAATAATAATCCCACACACAGCAAATGTGACAAAATGACAAAAGAACTCTTAATTTGGGGCTTTATTTTAATTTCTTCTTTTAAGATGCTACATAGTCGAGCAGAACTGGATTGGTCTTTTACGGCATGAAATTACTTCACAGTCAAGACTCTTCATTACCAGCAGATGGGTTTGCTGAGACGCTCTCCCTCCGCCCTCCCTCCCTCCCTCCCTCCAGGCCCTCACCCTCTTGCAGCCTGACTCACTCGTCCTGAGAAGGGCAGGTCAGACATGGCCTATGTTCTAGAAGGATGAATAACAGCGAAGAGTGAGGGAAGAACAATCTAGAAGACTGGGTAACCAGAGCTGACTGTTACCACAAAGACTGTTGCTCCTCAGGACAGCAGTTACTGACCTACCACGAAACACTTCCTGGCAGCTGTCTCCTGACTCAGACTCTCCCCATCCCTTGGCCCTCCAGGGACACGGAGCCACAGCAGCACCATCCCCTGCGGGTACTCTGCAGCACAGGTGACTTACAGGCCGCAGCGCTGCCCACAAAATGGTGACAGTAGGGACACACGAGATGAAATAAGTTAAGTGTGCATTACACATCTCTGGCAACAGCTCAGTGCCACTACATGAACCAACAATAATTTAGCTTGGTCCCTTTAAGAGAACAGAGCACAGACTTGATTTCTAAGTGTGGGGATGGCCGGTCCACTCATGTCTCTCACTCGATCTATAGCGACACAAGGAGTGGCCACCATGCCATGCTTCTGTAGCTCTGCATGCCTGAGGGGCCGGGGGCTTAGACAGAACAGCAGGCCTGGGGAAGCCACCTGGGTGAGACGAGGCAGCAGGGGACGGCTGTGGAGGGACCGCCCACCCTTCCTAGAAGGGCTCCCGCTCCCAAGGGCCAGCCCCAACGAGTGAGGAACAGAGAGGCGATGTAGGAGCATGTGCCAAGGCCTACCCGGGTTTAGCGTGGCAGCTACAATACGCCGCCGTGGTTAATCATGATGCCCTCAGTAACAGACCATTCTCCCCCATCCATTCACTATACATTTTTAACTCTCTAAAAGATCATTATATTATGCTATATTTGTGTGTGCATTTGTGTGTGCATGGGGAGGGGTATTTAAAGGCAAGACCTGTGAGATGTCATCATACATTAATTTCTTTTTACGCATGGTTATGATAAATTTAAATCCCATGATGTGGTGGATCCATCAATGCAATCTACCATCGTTCGCATGCGGCCTCTACAAGGCAATCTTCCCTATAATGACACCAACGATAAAGAACAAAACCACCAGAGCCAGCAGCCGCGCGCTGAGGCCTTCCTCCTTCCCGGTGGCAGCCAGAGCTGCCATGGGGCTGTTGCTCTGCAGTGTCTTCCTCACCCGAAGCCCGTCTTCTTCCTAGGGGGAATAAGCGCACATTTCAAAAGCACATCATGGCTTGGCAGATACGATCCAGCCACAATGCAAAGGCCGGCACATGGACGCCTACACAGAAGTCACTGCCGGGACACTCCTACCAGAGCTGTCGGCTCTCTCCTAACACCAACGTGAAGTGCACCCTCAGCTTCCCATGAAGCACAGGAAGAGCTCTTGAGCGGGGAGGAGAACAGGCTCTTCGGCCTGTCTTGACCGCTTCTCTGCCTACCTCCAGATACAACCTCTGCCCTGTCCTGAACCTACAAGTATGTCCAGTCAGCTCATCTCTGCCTGAAATCGCAAGTGCTTCCCAAGACACAAACCATAACCAACCATTCAATGGGGACCTGCATAAGTCCGGCAAGAGCCCAGGCCCACTACCCAATCACATGACCCTTGGAATTTGGAAACCGTCTATGTGTACCTGCTGCCATAGCTGGTCAAGAGAAAAGCCTTTGTTAGCCCTCCACACATACCTGCTGACTAACAAACACACGGCTTCTCATTTCCAAAGAGCCGCCAGGCCACACCCACCATACCTCCAAGACAGGCAAGGGACTGAGGTGCGTGTCTTCTACCTCCCCTGCCTGAAGGGCCTGCATGTCCCTCCAGTCCCCTTCCCGCCCCTTCCAGGCCCCACGGCCCCAGAGGGCCAGTGCCAGGCTGCTCCATTCTGAGACCTCCCACACAGCTGACATTATCTTTTCCCTCTGCTTCTTCCTTATCTGCCAAGTGCCAAGTGCAGCCTCCCATGATCTGCAGCTCTCCGTGGACCCACTAAGGGCATGGGCTGTCACCGTCATTGTCTCGTCTCTCCCTCAGCCCCACTAACGGGAAGCTCCCCAGGGCAGCCCGCTCATGGCTGAGCCCGCGACACCTGGCACACAGCAGATCTCACTGAAGAAGAAGCCAGTGTCTGGCAGGGTAAAGCATCCCCCCTGTCAAGACTGCTCTGATATTATTTTAGAGATATTCCGCTCGTGGGCAAGGCCAGCACCAGAGCACAGTGATGAACGAGCCGCAGCGTTCGATTAACTTTAAAAAAATGGGCGCAGCAAAATACGGCATTTATTTTATTGGGTTTACATAGAAGCTATCCCGGCCTATAGATCACTGTAAATGGTGCAGAACTCTATTTCTGAGGAGAGATGCACTCCAAGAGAAGCTTTTGCAAAGGAAGATGCCGAGGCCACTTCCAAACTGTCAACCTCCTACATCTACCTCAGAGCTGGGATGCAGGGGAGCCGGCTTAAGCGAGGGTGCTCTGTACATTTGCTGCCACAGCAGGCAAAGAGGGGAAACCTATTACATGCTTGGCTGGCATCATCAAGATTAAGAACAAATAGGCCTCAAAATTTAAGCTGCAACAAAAGGTTCTATAATCAGATGTTCAGGTATATCCACATCCAAGACAGACAGATCCACATTCTCGAGCTAGGAGGCAGCCAGACAGACGCTCAACAAATGGGCCTGAGAAATGGGCCTGGGGTGGGCAAGATCATATGCAAACTGTACAGACAGCAACGTGGGCTGTTAGGCTGAGGGTGCCTCTACCCCCCCCCCCAAGTGCAGCCTGACACACCCGCAGCCCGACCAGATGCCTTGGTTTCTCCTGTGCACCCACACCTGTCTGCTGGGCCAACACTGAGCTAACTTTCTTCTCACCACAAGAGCAGCCTGAGGAGCGGCTACTGCCCAGACCCACTTCAGAGGGTTAAAAACTCATCTGCCTGTGTTAAAACAGGATGGGCAGGATTTGTCCCCCAAACAAGGCCACCCAAGGGGTGGCCACAGTGGGGTCTGAGGGTGCATGTGCACTGGCTCCTGAGGAGAAACCACCGCGGGACAGGTACAGTCCAAACACCCTTCGGAGAGCCCCAAAAGAATCCGCCCAGGGAAGAAAAAGCAAGCAAACGCAAAGAAACTCGCCAAACTCGCACTGCCCACAGAAGGGGCTCGGCAAGGGCGTTACCTTGAGCTGCCTGCCCTCCTCCCGCAGCCTCTGGACCTCCCCCTGCAGTCGTTTGCATTCTTCCATGACTTTCTTCACTTCGATGCCATCCAGGGACGATGTCAGGGACTTGGCAGCTGCTGGGGCTTCAGTCTTGGATGCACTTGTAGGTATAATTTTATTTATTTCTACATCGTGCTGTTCAGAAATAAATGAAAGCCCAAGGGTCACCAACCATGTAAGGAGGGATTTTATGCAAAGCAGTTCTCAGTACACAATACACAGGTAGCATTTCATCCACACTGTAAAATGTCACATTTATTTTTTAAATGCATCACTTTATCTAGAATCTTGATAATCTAAAGCTACCAGGCCCTAGAAATTATGAATAAGGGCAAATAATGAAGTTGGGCTGAGGCTAATACTTCAAGGAGGAGAAAAAGGGCTGTGCATATTGCACTATCAAATTCCTGCCATGCAAAAATTAGCATACGGCGATTGTGCAAGCTCAGGAATTATCAGCTACAAATTACCTTTGCAGGAAAAGCTGAGCATCCCAGGCCACTGGGGGTGGGGGTAGGAGGCCCAGAGAGGACTACACCACCTTACAAGCAGGGATGAGGACAAACAAGCTGTGAAGGCCACACACACGCCTGTGTTCCCCTGAATAAAAACAGGGGTCACGGTACCCCTCTCGGAGGATAAGCCAGTCAGTGGAAGCTGGGCTAGGAGCACTGGCGATGCTGGCCTGAGGTTCTGGGTGACAATCTGAAAATCAGACATGTAGCTCCAGCCTCCTTCACTTCCCACAGAAGAGAGAGCCTTGGAAGTCAGAGCCCAGGCCAGAGCCCAATTATCATGAGGCTGGGGTCATGATCCATATCTCCCCGCTCCTAAGTTAACTTAGAACAGGATGATGTTCTCTCTGCATTCAAAGGACCAGGATGGCAGTAGCTGATGACAGGGTGGAAGAAATGGACAGCTCTGACAATAATCAACAGCATTCATTCTTGGGCTCCTCACAGTCATGTGTGGAGACGCTGGTGCATGCTTTCCCTTCCCAGCTCTGTCCATCACCGGCAGAGAGAGGCCGACAGATCAAGCACAGCTTTTACTTCTTGACACAATTTTACCTTTTCCGGCTTCTTTGAAGGGAAGTGTCTAGCACTATTTGAAAAGCCACCTCCCGTCTTCTGCTGGTCCCCAGTGAGGGCCCAGATCGGGGCAGTAGACACACAACAACTTCCATGAAAAACTGGGGATACAGCTAGTGTCCAGGGAGTGGGGTCTGGGGCAGTGGGTACCTGATGCTCAATGCCCCTACAGTGCACAGGACGCACAATGCCAACAGCAGTGAGCCCGAGGGAGTCTCATCTCCAGACAGACGGGCACTGTGAGAGCAGGTGCTGAGGGAAAGCACTGACAGGATGCTCAGAGTTTACCACCTGCCTGAGCGCCATGATAACACGCAAAGGCTCCCTGGGATTCATGACCACAGCTGCCAACAGGTTGCTCTTTTCAAGGGGAAACTATTTCAGCTGGCCGTTCTCTGCAAGGCTTTGCCAAGGTTGATGTTTTAATACCAGCTTATCTGTTGACTTCAGCTGATTTTTTTCCCTCATACATTAGAGGGAGGAAAATAATTTGCCAGCTTAAATCTTTGTTTCACAGGAGATGGCATGCAAATGAGTAGCCGCCTGCAACGTTCGATTACCGTTAACTGGAGACATACTTACTGGTTTAGCGTTTTCTGCTGGTAATTCAAACACACATCTAAGTTTTGAATCCATAAGGTCTTCCGGTTTTGCCTCCTTCCACTAAAACAATTTAAATTTAATAATCAGGGTATTATCAAGCTGCTGGAAGAATAATTCTCCTCCTATAACTGACAATTTCAGAAAAACACTCTTAACGAGAAAGCCCTGATGTATATCAAATAAAGAACTTAAGTCTGCTGAGACTTCAATATTTTTAACATGACAAGATTAAATGCACTAGCTCTCCTGAATATTTATCACACTTTGCAAACCCTGCAGCCTCGCCGCCTGGCTCCTTAGAGCCGCCTGCCCAAGCTTGCCCATCTCTACCTATTTCACGGGCAGCACAGGCCCAGGAAGCATGGCTGAACAAGGGGCTAACCCTTCCCCAAAGGCAACCCAGCTCTCCTTAAGGAACGGGGATCTGCATGATGGGGTATACACTCCCGAGAGAGATGGAGGATGAGGATTTAGCCGCCCCTGTCAACCACCAGCGGGGCAATGCCACCACAGAGCCATTCCCCCACCGTGGCTGCATCAGCATGGCCCTGCCCAAGCCACCCGACCCACCAGTGAGGGTGTGCTCCTCACTGGTGCCCTTTCAGACATGGGGGAAGGGTTGAGAATGGCAGGTCAGCAAAGCGGCAAGGTGGTGGCAACTGAGACAAGGGAGGCGCCCAGCACCGCCCTCCCAACCATGCAGGGCAAGCCCCTAGGCAGTCGATGTCTCTGGCCCCAAAGCACATGCCACCGTAGCCATGGCAGAAGCGGTAGACAGGTCAGCACACCGACACTCAAAGGACACCCGAGATCGCTGAGCTACACAGGAGCACACAATGCTGCTCTGTGCACATGTGCCCATGGGCGAGTCAGAGAGGACCATGCAAGGGCCAACTCCGGGTGACAACAGGACACTCAGTAGCAGACAGGACCTCAAAGCCATCAAACCCAAGGTGCAGAAGAAGGTCCTCTGCTCAAATAACCAGCAGTCACTCTGGAGTGCCCAGAGACTGCATGGGAACTGCCCTCTTTAGGCTACTCATAACTCCAGCTCACTGTCCTCTACATCCGGTACTTCCTGCACGGTCAGCTCTCCTGGCAGCCACCTCCATCCAACTCAGCTTCCACCCACGTGGGCATGTCCAGTGTCCCAAACACTTAGAACAGTTATAAAAAAAACAACCCACTGAGAAATAGAAGCCCCTCAGTCAAGCTGCAGCATCTGGCCCCGAATTACTCAGGTGAAGTGTCAGACATGGGCACACTCTCCTCAAAACTCTATGGGCTGCATTTCTACTTCCAATTCGCAGGTGGCTAAAACCTCAAAAAGGATCAACACAACCTGCCCAAGGCACACCAAAGCATTCGTAAAGGTTCCGCTTAGCCAAGGCCCTGCCCTTCCAGCGATGCCACTTCAAAAGCCAGACCAAAGGCACGGCCTTCGACGGCCTCCGTCACAAAGGCACGGCCTTCGACGGCCGCCGCCAGTGCCTGTCCTGTGCTCCCTTCACCACACAGACCAAGGAATGAAAGGGCAGAGGAACGTCTCCAGGGTCGGTCTTGTGACAAGGTCTTGCTCCAGCTCAATAGGTGACTTAACCTTCTCTTTCTGCCCCCAAGGTTCAGGCGCCAATGCAGGCAGCTGGCTCTGCTTTCCCAAGCCTAAAGCCAAGGCTACGAGGTGAGGAGGGCAGGGGACAAGCTCAGCACAGAACATCCCTGAGACCTTCACCGCCCCTGGGCTGGCCAGATCCTGAGGACCACCGCCTGCTGGGCAGCAGCTGACGACACACAGCACTCACTACCTTTGGGGAGAATTGCCACTCTAATCTCTCTTCTTCCAGAAAAATAAATACTATAAAATATTCTTCATTTATAAAAGCGAGGGCATCTTAATTTTACCAAAATTCGAGACATCGTCACACATGTCCTCACACTGCGGAAAGGAGGGATGAAAATGAATGCAATTAGAGAAAATGGTGTGGAGCGGGCTGTGGGCGTAGCTCAGAGACAGAGTAGCGGCTTAGTGTGAGCAAGACCAGAGTTCAATCCTCAGCAAAGAATCCGAGGAACTGTGCCAACCAGCACCAAGCCAAGGAGGAAAGCAACACAGGGGATTGTCATCAGGAAGAAGGGGACATTTAGTATTCAACACCAGAGCACCCTTCTGGGTGTGAGGGGCTGGAGACGGCTCCTGTAATGCAGGAGAGAGGGAGGCAGAGGTCCACGAGAGCAGAGAATTGTAGCAGGTGCAGTTCAGCGAGTCAGAAAAGAACAGCCACGTAAATGTTAAAGCCATTCATCAAAGTTAGGAAAGGCGTGCAGGGACCCGGGTGCACACCTGCCTGACAGCACGCTCCCGTCATGCACCCGCCATGCCTGCCCTATCGCACTGGAGAGAAGAAGAAGTGTACTTACTACTGCCTCCATATCAGAAGTGTCGGGTGGAGCAAACATAGACTGTACCATAAACTTGTGTTTACTTTTCTCATTGGGGTCATAATCGAAAGGCTGTAACATCACTGGGAAAGAAAATATTTCATTAGGAGGGTCAGAGTGTGGCCATCAGTCGTCTGTCACGCTAACACTCTGCAGTAAAGCAACTTCCCAGCTCTGCCCTGTGGACCCTGAGGAAGGACATGAGCCAGCAGGGGCGGCTGAACTCAGGGGCCTCCATCCTGATGAACCCGTCTGTGCACTACCACAAAGCTGCCCCAACCTGTCTTACGGTCCTGACGGAAAACACAATGGGAGAAACACCAGAGGCCTATTTCTCTCAGGAAAACGCTGCCAGATGATCTTTTCCAGAAGGAAAACAGAATAACTCAAGATGTTTCAGGGTGGTTTCCGCTTCTCTCCACCCCATTTCCCACACAGCTCATCAAGGTAAGGCTTGAAATATGATTTTGCCAATAGAATCCTGGAGACAGCTTATAAGCTGGATTTCCCACAGCAGGAAAAAACAATTGCACCTCATGCTCCAGCCCCCACCCAGAACCCGGAGAAAGCTCAACCCAAGGACCCCAAGTCTTCCATTCTGACTCACTTCCGTGGACCTACACCAGATGACCCAGGCCAAACCCTGCTACCTGACCGAGGGTGTTGGGCAACGCCCTTTTTGCTGCATGGCTTTAGTGAGGCTCGCACCGAGTGACCTTCCCAGAAACCTAAATTCACAAGCAGGGAAGCCTCAGAGAGCAGATGCTGGCCTCGTATCTCCATGGGCGGAAACTGGGCGGCATTCTTCAGCATTGTCTCTGCCTCAGTCAGCCTGTAAGGAGTAAGGACTGCTGGGGAGGGGGTGGGTTCAGTTGTCTGTTTCTCCGATGAGAAAACTGGAAACAGCAGCTGGCTTGCCTCACGTCACTCAGACCCAATGGGGTCTGCTTCTGTCCCTGCTCTCAACATATCGACGGACGCCAGTCCTGCCCTCCCAGTCTGCCCCCGAGAGGCATCCACCTTGTAGATGGGAAGTCAAAGGCTATGGTGGCATGTTTCACAGTAAAGTCAGGGTTCTGGCCTGGCTCTGACTGTAGGGTCACAGTCCCACAAGTATGGTTCCTCCCAGATCTTCCTGTAGACAGATGGTGGCCCACATCTTTAATCCTAGTACTCTGGAGGCAGAGGCATATGGATCTCAATTTGAGGCCAGCCTGGTCTACCAAGCTTGTGCAAAGCCTGGGCCAACCCTAGCACTGAAGAAAATGAAACTAAACAAAGAAAACTCTGCTTGTCTGCCACAGAGCTATCCAAAGACTCTATTAACTTCCTGTCTGGGTGACACATCCTGCAGTGTGCACTACGACACACTGAATGAACCAGACATGAGAATTCAGTCTATTAAGACGTCAAAGCTGCAGAAGCTGTCAACAATTTGAGCCTTCTAATTTCTGGAGAATAGCTACTTTCATAAAAAAAAAAAAAATGCCACAAACATGTAATTGATGGATTGTAATTTTTAAAGAAATTAGTCGTTTTTAAATTTCTACTATAATAAATACTACTATAGCTCACAAAGCCCCACCCTCTTGGGGCCCTCAGCTGTCAGTAGCATAAGAAGTTCAGAGACCACACACAGGAGGGGCACAGCCACCACGCACACCACCCTCCTGGCCCTGTCCACAGGCCGCGCTTCGTGAGACAATGTAAAGAGAGAAGAGGTTGGCTGAGTCATGCTGGAGTCTGCAACCAGCACTGCAGAGGGAGGGTCCCGAGTCCCCTGCTCCACAGCAAGCGCGCCCTTCGCGGCCCACTGAAGCGTTGCCTGCAGCCATCGCCTGCCCTATTCCTGGCCTCCTGCACCCTACCTGCTCAGGCCCTCCAGCGGACACCTGAGAAAGCTATCTGATGGGCAGGACACACAGGGCAGGCGCTAGTGGTGGCCGATCATACCTCTGTGTCAACACACGTGTATGTTCAGGGCCCTGGTGGGGCTGGCCAGAGAGCTCCGGCAGAAATGGAAGGCAGAGCCTCTGGAAGGGAGTCATCTGAGAACCTCTGGGCATAATGTGTGTGTGTGGGGGGGGGGGGCTGGCCGTCCTCCACGGCAGAGAGCAGCAGAGAAGCAGCTGCTTGCCTCCCAATGACTGTCCTTTGTGTGCATGACACTCTACACAGCCTTGGTACGCCTGCTTCACACAGCCCCTCACGTACACCACCGAGTTCCTGTCCCTCAGCTGCCACCGTCTCACATGTCAAATCCAGTTTCAGCTGAAACTTTATGAGAACATGACGGAATAAATGTTGGTCAGCGCTAGCTCATTGCAAATTGTGGCACAAATTATGTACTTTTTCCATGACAGGCTATAAAAGAGCTTCCCATTAACTTAATTTATTTCATTTAAATACCAGAGACACTGATGATAAAACCCTGAGTGAACCGTCCCTCCTTTCAGAACGCATCTGCTGACAGAACATTAAAGTAGCCTGTTACCAGGAGACGACCTGGGCTCAGTCACCCCTCACCCACACCGAGCTCCTGACATAGAGCCTGCTGCATTAGACACGAAAGCGGGGCCCTTGTGAAGAACCTTCAGGGTCATGAAGCGCCGATCGATCAGGCCAGACTTCCTTCAAAAGAAGGAAACGGGCAGCTGAACACACACTGGCTTGGAAAGAAAATGACGACCCAACTAAACGCAGCATAAGAGCTGCTTCCAGGGTGCTGAACAACCAGGGCCCTTTTCATCAGCTCCACGGTGGGGTGGACGGGGACGGGGGTGGGGTGGACGGGGACGGGGGTGCTCTAGAGAGCAGCACTGTGTGTGTCCATCTCACTGAAAACGTCTCTACAGTCAACAAAGCCAACAAGCCACACCAGCTCTGGCCCCACTCAGTCAGTCATTCACTCACTCATTCACTCGGTCAGTCATTCATTCACTCACTCAGTCACTCACTCACTCAGTCACTCAGTCATTCATTCACTCATTCATTCACTCATTCACTCAGTCACTCATTCACTCACTCACTCAGTCATTCATTCACTCACTCATTCATTCACTCATTCACTCAGTCACTCATTCACTCAGTCAGTCATTCACTGTCACTCACTCATTCACTCACTCATTCACTCACTCCCTTCCTCCCAACCAAAGGCTCTGCCAACTTCTCCCTGTTTCTTTCCCACCACATTACCCTGTGCGTCCCTTCTAGACCGTGGGAGACACACAAGCCCCACCCCGTAGCTCTCAGATCACAGCTACCTATACCAGCAGCTACTGCCCAAGCAAAGACAGCCAGCTCTTCAGTCCCTCCCTCACACCCCCGGGCCATCTTTCCACCAGTGGGCATGCATCGAGCTCTGTGTCCTACATCTTGTGATGTCCTCTACCATTCCCAAAACCTTCCCTCATTCTTGTGGTGCCCCTCACCATGCTCACATCCTAGATGACCTTCGAAGGAAGGTCAGCCAACTTGGGCATGGACCAGAATTGCAAAGGAGCCAGTGAAAGGTAATCTGCTGGAGGGGGTCCTGCTTAGAACCTGTCCCTGGAGAATGGGGCTGTACTCTTTTCTGAAAGCCACAGGCATGGCTGGAAACACACCATGCCTGTCCCTGCCAAGGGCAGCTCACTCCCCAAAGCCACTCTACAAACCCCATGTGCACCTTCTTGCCAATGTGCCTGCCCCAGTTAACATGAGTCAAGGACTGAATGCTTGTGTTCATGCGCTCCCACGGGCTGGTGGTATGAACCCTCTTCCCCTCCTAACTTCAAAGCACCCTACACCCCGCTCCCTTTAGAAACATTTGAGGGAGCTCAGAGGTGGTGGTACATGCCGCTCGTCCCAGTAACAGGGAGGCAAAGCAACAGAGTAAGTCCCAGGATAGCCAGGGCTACACAGAGAAGTCCTGTCTAACAAACTAACAACAGTAGTAATTAATGATAACAGTAAATAAATAGAAATGGTCAAGGGAAGAGGTTTTCCTGCCCTCACCCAACAGGCTCTCCTCTCCTCTATCGTTCTTACAGCCTGCTCCCTCCTTTCAGTCCCTTGTCAGAGGACCGCGGGGACTGCGTTTATGAAACGATGGCAACACTGCTCTGTTCTAAGCAACCATGAGCTTCCTCTCTGCTAAAGATGCCGGGCAGAGCTGTAAACTGTGGCCTGAGACACAGGAGCGGACACTGCGGCCTACCCGAGCCCTCACCGCGAGTAAGTTCATCATCTCCTCACTCAGGACACTGACCCCTGGCTACCTGCCTGGGCCTCCGCTACCCAAGTCTAGCAGGTGAGTGGTTAACTTCTCCTGGTTACAAGGGTGCTGCCGATCTAACCCTGCACTCTGTGGGCCTCTGGACACAGGTAGCAAGTACCCGGCAGTGTCTGTGCAGAGGGCACAGGGTACACTTCATTCACACTTTCTTCAGGGCCCACAGAAAGGAGGTACGCAAAAGGCTGTCTGGGCCAAACACCCAGGCTCACTCACTCCTCACTGTGAAGGCTCGCTCACTGCCTTCCTGTGCTGTGACTAACAGCAGGGTACAGCCTCTTCGGGCCGCCCAGTACAACTCTACACCCTGCCACCGCCATCACCTCTTCAGTAGGAATCTGTGAGCCAAAGCTCTGAAACACCCGGGGGACTTCCTGTACCCAGCATCTTCTCTTTGACCTGCCCTCTGAGCGCTCATGCCCTCTGAGCGCCATCAGGGGCTCTTGCTACCTCGTTTCCCAAGGCTGCCCCTCAAGCCTTCGCCCTGCCTTCTGCAATGAGCCAGAGACCACAATGGAGTAGTGACATTAGAAAGAGCAAGATGGAACTTCTAGGGGAACCAAAGGCATGATCTGGAAGGCCCGGACTGGAAACATTTACCACCACACGCCCGAATCACCTTGCAACGCAAAAAGGTGCCCTCCAGCTGAGTATCCCCTGTCTAGTGTTCTGGGTCCTGCCCTTTGATCATATCCATAAAGGATGGGGACCGTCTTCCTAAGAACCCTGAATCCTACAGCAACCTTCAAAAAGCTTTAAGCCCAATTAAGCTGAATTTTATTGGTAAAATATTTTAAGCCATAACCTAATCTGGTGAAAAGATTAGGGATTTATCTTAAGCAGCAGTATGGGCTGTTCTTATCTCAGAGTGGAAAAGAATTCTAGTTAAAAGTCACACTTATCAGAACCTTCTAAAGCAACGAATGACTGGGCCTAGAGAACGCTGCCATGGCAAAGCCCCACGGCAGCCTCTGCTATGCACACTGGCAGGCGCACAGCAGGCCTCTTTGTCAGTTAGCTCGGAGCACCTTTACCCCAAGGTCCAGCACCTGAATGCCACAGCCCACAGCTGACTGGTCCAATGCCAGTAAACAGCAACGTCCACCCGAGCCAGCACCATCTTAAACGGATTAATAATCAATTCCAATACCACCCAATTACATTAATTGACCAATGTCTCCATCCCAGGAGATGCTGATATTTGTTCTGTTACTGGAAGAACTCTATGGTTTCAATGTGGTTAAAGAGCCCTGAAGGGGCTGTCAGAAACCAAGCTGATCCTCTGTGCTCCAGATTTCAGTTTAAAACACAGACTCGGATATGGGGAGACCTATGTTTGGCTTTAATCCGTCTTCAATCCCAGGGCACACTGAGTAAAGAGACTCTGTACCTGCAGACTGGTGTCTGTAATGCCTCGGGCCACGCCCCCCATCCCATGGATGCTCTGCACGTGTAAATGCACTTGGCACGGGCGGGGCAGGCGATGGGGATGACCGAACTGCAAACGAAAGTGCTCACCACTTTGTGGGATTAGAATTCTCCGAGGTTACACAAATACTAAACTTAATGTCATATTACAGGGAGCCTAAGTAGTTTTGATGGGCCCATAATTCCACCACGTCACCTGCTGTACATGCTGGCAAACACGGTTTGGAATATTAATGGGAAAGCCCCTCATTATTAAGCTGCAGCAAGGTCTGCCACTGCTAACAGCCTTCCACAAAGACATCTTCAGAAATTACACACATTAAAAACATTTCCCTACCATACATACAGTTTGAAAGAGGCTTCATTCTGTACAGCTGGCGTGGGGCCACTCCCGCCTGCCTCGGATGGGTGATGAAAGCACAGGCCCTACCTTCCCTGTGCCTGAAATCTCTGGGAACAACTCAATCTCCCTCCAGCAATGGCAGCCCCACATGACCGGGCTGCCAAGGTGCAGAGCCCCGTGTGTAAGCCCAGCTTGCAAGGTCGGGGTTCATCAGGAACACGTGCCCAAACTCTGGCACTCTGGAAGTGACCAAGAGCTGTGCTGAGTATTACAGCGAGCAGGCTACCAAGGTCTACAAATATGAAGACAAAGGAAGAGCATCGTGTCTATGGGAATGTCTACATGTCACACTCCACTGACACAGAAACTTGGGTTATGCCTCTGCCCAGCTGTGACCAGGTTGCCTAGGTTAAGGAAAGGAACCTCACGCACATGGCTTCACTGTGTTCCAAAGAAAGCAATGCAGCAGGTCGGAGCCTGCCCTTTTGAAGCATGATGTCAGGTCCCTTGAACATCAGGTTCATTGGGAAGGCAAGCACAGCACCGCAGGGTGTGGCCGAGGACCACTGCCATGCCTGTCACAGCCACAGCCACAGCCGCTGCAGCCAAGTTGCAAGATACAAAGCCTTTTAAGCCCCAGCCCTATCATTACCATTCCCATCCTCCTCCAACTGTCTCACTCTGCTCCTCTCCTCCCCCATCCCTCCCCCCTCTTTACGGGATGATTTATAGCCTCCTCTAATAGCTAGAGCCTCCCAAGGCTCTGAAGAAAGGGAGGGGAACACTAGCCCTGTCCTTTCCAGGTGTCCTGTGACATTCTCGGTGGGTGCTAGGCAGGACCATGCTGATAGCCTTAAGTTCATTTCACGGTCATCATATTGTAAATTACAGATGAAAATTTACTCACAAACCTGTATTTTATAGGAATTCAGGAGGGCCACACATTCATAAAAATGCATAGAATCCCTTTGCTTTTTTAAGGCAATGCAAAAAATATACAATTCATTCCCACCCAAGCCTGGCTGTTTTTGCATTTACAGGGGCAACAATAGCATGCATGTACAGAGGTGACCAGGCTGGAAAATGTCAGTCACAGGCTAAAGGACAGACCATGTGGAGCAACAAGTGGGTGTGAGCACACTGAGGACAGTGCTCTGTCTGTGAACCTGCCTTCTCTAGGGGCTCGAACTCACCACACTGTCCACCCAGTAGCTGCACCCCTTGAGGACCCAGGCCTGGACAAGAACAGCGCTTCCCAACCAAGATGAGCGCCTTTAAAGTGTGACATTTGCACACACAGAACCTAAGAGGAACATGTCTAAAGTGTGACATTTGCATGCCAAGAACCTAAAATGTGCATGTCTAAAGGGTGACATTTGCACGCCCATAACCTAAGATGTGCATATCTAAGTGTGGCATTTGCACACGCAGAACCTAAGATGTGCATCTCTAAAGTGTGACATTTTCACATACAGAACCTATATCTGCATGTCTAAAGTGTGACATCTGCACACCCAGAACCTAAGATGCATATGTCTAAAGTGTGACACTTGCACGCCCATAACCTAAGGTGTGCATGTCTAAAGTGTGACATTTTCACACACAGAACCTATATATGCATGTCTAAAGTGTGACTTTTGCACACCCATAACCTAAGGTGTGCCTGTCTAAAGTGTGACATTTTCACACACAGAACCTATATATGCATGTCTAAAGTGTGACATCTGCACACACAGAACCTAAGGTATGCATGTCTAAAATGTGACATTTGCACACCCAGAGCCTAACCTAAGTTGTATATGTCTGAAGTAACATTTGCATACCTGGAATCCAAGATGAGCATGTCTAAAATGTGACATTTGCACATCTAGAACCTAAGATGAGCATGTCTAAAGTGTGACATTTGCACACCCATAACTTAAGATGTGCATGTCTAACATGTGACATTGACACACCAAGAACCCAAGATGTGCATGTCTAAAGTGTGACATTTGCACACCTAGAACCTAAGATGTGCAAGTCTAAAGTGTGACATTTGCACACCTAGAACTTAAGATGAGCATATCTAAAGTGTAACATTTGCACACCCATAACTTAAGATGTGCATGTCTAAAGTGTGACATTTGCATACCTAGAACCTAAGAAATGAGCATGTCTAAAGTGTGACATTTGCACACCCCTTACCTAAGATGTGAATGTCTAAAGTGTGACATTTGCACACCCCTTACCTAAGATGTGCATGTCTAAAGTGTGACCTTTGCACACTCAGGACCTAAGACTACACAGACTATTTGGCTTTCCTGGCCCTGAGGCCACCACCAAGGGCAGACAGCAGTGTCTCCACAGAAACTTCTCTCGTGCCCACCCTGCCTCACCAGGGAAAGCTCCTGTTCTCCCACCCCTGCGATGGATCCCATCTCCGATTCACGGCTCACATCCATGCCAGTTCCTTACTTTCTGATCAGCAGAGGAGACACAGAGACCAGAGCAGCCTTCACTGAGGAGCCTGAGGGCCCTCAGAACATTCCCAAGACCGGGAAGGACTTGCTCCTGGTGAAAGTGCACACACACAATTACCTCTAACATCAGGAGGCACGCCTACACTACCTATCTGCTGAGATTACTTTATTCAGAAAACCAGGCTGCTATTTTCCTATAAAAAATGGTGATTTCCATCTGCTGATAACTCAAACTTTTCTAACCTGTGTTATGGATAAGGAAACTGGGGATGGAGCTAGAAAGGAACAGGGTTTAGACAGTTCAACTACACACACAAAACAGGGACAGAAGAATCCAGCTGCACGAATCTCAACAGACATTGAGGACACATGGAGGAAGCAGAAATCCCACTGACTATCCCCTCCTCCTAGCACGCCAGTCACACAGCGCTGGCTGTCACACACCAGCTTCACGATTCAAAATGCACATGGGATGGGCGTGACACTACATCCTGTGCAGTGCAAATGATGGCGGTGTGTGAGGTCTGGCAGTGGGAACCCTTCCACAGGTGCTGGTTACCAGCTAACTGCTCCTGACCGGAGATCTGACTCAGGAGTCCACGCCAGGCCTTGCACACTCAGAAAGGAGCACACAGGGGAGCTGGGGTGGGTGCTCTATGATGAGAGGCACCTACAGAGGCGAGGAATCAGAGTCCGAGATAATGAAACACCTTGTATCTTTCCAAAGAGGTGAGTCATTTTCTCTTAGGTGTCAAATGAATAGCCAAATGCATCACAATCAAAATCTATCACGGAAAAAGCCAGACAGGCACTCACTTCAAATGAGAGGTGGCCTCTAACGATGCTGGAGCTGGGGACACTGAGTCATGGTGTCTAAAGGACACATCCTCCCCCACAGCCCCTCTGAGCATCACCAGCTCTAATGAGCCGCAAGCCCGCCGTTCTCTAAACACGTTTAAACTCCAACACGTCACTCACACCTCAATTCTGAAAACCAGCTCTCAATTTGGGACTTCATCACCCTCTTTCCAGAAGCTGGGCTCTGGAAAATATGGACCCCGATTGAGGGCTGGGGAAGCATCATAACACTCAGGGCCCACAGCCATGTCTGTTTCCATCTCCTCAGCTTCAGTAGATAGAGTGTGCCTCCAATCACTAGACGACATGAATACTGTTGGAAATCCTTTAGCTCAAGAAAAGAACTCCAGCTAGTATTCTCCCACAAAGTAAAATTAAGCTTATCCAGTCCCTTTCTACGTATTGTGAAAGTGCAGATTTAGTTCCAAACAATGGAGGCGTTTGCTCTGCAGCCAGGTCTAAGGCCACAGCTTTCACGTCTTTGTTCCACTACTAAGGTGCAGGCGCTGCAAGCATTAAAACAAAGAGATGTGGATTATGGAAAGCTGAAGTTGGCACAAACCAAGCTTTTACCTAGGCTGGGGTGGGAGAGGTGGAGAGAAGTCCGTAGCCTCCAGCACTGCCCTGAACATTCCTGCCCTGACAAAGCCCTAGGCTCGGGCCCAGCACTTACCAGACACGTTGAGAGAGGCCCCCGCATCGATGACCCCGCTGTTAGGCCGCACGCAGTACCTGCGTGGTGCTGTGGTCTTCACCTTGAAACACACGTTTCTGTCTGTTGGGTTGCCAAGCTTTAGGTTGGTGGTGACCACATCAGTGAAGGGGCCTACGTGGAAAAACAGAGAGCTGTTGGGGGCCTGTGAGGAAAGTGTAGGGGACAGAGAGGACAGATACGGCGCGGGACGAGCTGGGGACCCACCACGCCACTGCAGCTCAGAAGACACCCCGAGACCTGTATGAATGACAGGATCTAGAACCACACAGTCCAAACCCAATCAATGACAGTCACCTGTGTTCAATATTCGCTCCACAAAACCGCTGTGGAATCTGGCAGAAACTACATGAAGCGCCACGCATGGGGTCCCCAGCGACTATTAAAAGCAGAGTGGCCTCTGGTGAGCAGGACTCTGTAGAGAGGGACCCCTAACAATGTGACTGCAAGGACAGCTGGCCTTGCTCAGACAGAGCCCTGCTAGCAGCTCTAAGCATCAGGCACCCGAGAAGCCTAGAGCGACGTTCTGTGGCTCTGGGCTATTGTTTATTACTATTACTTATTCATTTCCTACTTTATTAGATTTTTTAATTAAAAAAGTAAAACAAACCAAACAATGAAAGATGTATAAAGAGAAGTTAATAAGCTTCATCTGTGCCTGAGGTAACTAATCTTAACCGTGTGGGAGCTCATGCAGCCATCTAGACTTAGTAGTAAGCACGGTGCGTGCCTGCACAACTGCCTCTCACTGGCTGCTCAGTGGACACCCGATCACTGGGCTTACAAGGGGGTGAGGTTGGGAGAGGAACCCCAAGACCTCCTGTCATGTGCACATGCACGTGTGTGCTACGCAGCAAATCCGAATCTGTGCACGCACCTCCCCAGTCCTAGATCCATTTCACGTTTAGCTACTTTCATCATGAGGGCCACCTGTTTGTTCCCTACAGGCAGGCTTTTCGGTTCCGCCCTCACATCTATAGGGAAGCAGGGGAGGGGAGTGTGTTTCCGTGGTTACAAAGAATATCCACTGGCTCACCTGTCACATGTCAGAGGCCCCAACAGACTCTCAAGAGATATGCTCTGAAATGCATCCTCAGCTGCCGAGGGCAGGGTTGTCCTTTGTCCATCTCCATTCCCCGCACTGTGCCCGGACACAGCAAAGGTCTCAAGGCACACCCACCACGAAGAAAGCCACGCACAGATTATCTCCACAGAAGCTGGAGCCTTAGGCTGGCTTAGCTTAACTACAAATGGTTACTACATTAGCTTAACTACAAACTACTGAGGGGTTGAGGCTGAGTCCAAAATGAAGCACACTGTAGGCAGCCAGTGGCAGGGGAAGAAAGCACTATTCTTTCCGTTGGGGGGGGGCACCCTGAGCATAAGATGGTTCTCACACTTGCTGATGCACAGCAGCTGGTACCTGCTGAACCTCGACCCTTGCTGTGCTCCGTTCACACATGGTCACCGGCCACGCCTCCAACTCCAGCCCCCTGGAGCACAGAGTAACTTAGGGCTGGAAGCCTGGCGCCACGTCCATACAGGGACCCTGAGTAGGGGCCCTGGGCCGTAGCGCCCGCTGTCCCTGTTGTCCCACACTGGCCCCACTTCACTGCTCTCCACGGTGCGGGGGCTGCACGCATGCACTCCAGCGCATGCCACCAGAGGACTGCATCGCCTACTGAGGACCGCTTATCCTAGAAGCTCTTCTCAGTTCTGGGGAACACGGTAGAAAGTGCCGTGGGGGTCAAAAGGCCTGAAGACAGTCTCCATCTGCCTGCCTTTCAGGAAGCCCTGCGCTGGCTCTAGGAACCAGGCTGAAAGCCAAGACTTCCTAAAGGCGTTGGGATTGACTCCACAGCGCAAACCACCGGGCTCCCTAACTGCACGGGAGGCAGTTAACCTGTGCACAAAGGGTTTTCAGCCACAGAGAGTGAGAGCTGGGTGCTGACCGGGCACCACCCTTGCAACAAGTTCTTGGCCTCCAGGGAGAAATGAGACACTTAGTGTTGAGAATGTCCAGGGGCTTATGGGAATTCTACCCTATCCCATGTCCACTGCACATTGGCTGACTCATGGGGAGACGGGAAGGATGATCCCCCTTTACCTAAGGTGGGGATCACTGCAAAGGAAGCACAGTCTATAAAAAGGAGAGCTAAAAACAGCTTTGGTTTTCTAGGGTCAGAGGCCGTGGTAAGGCCTAGAGCCTGCGCGGGTACAAGTGTCCAGGCGGGTATTTCATAAACACACCCAACACTACTCTGCAAGTGCAGAAGACAAAGTCACCACGGCCCTAAAGGGCTCATTCCCAACATCAATAGCCTTACTGGAGAAGAGCCAGCCACAGTGGGTCGTTTGGGAAGACAGAGGCAGGAGGATCGGAAGCTAAAGGTACATGGCAGGTTCCAAGCCAATCCAGGGTACAGAGAGGAGCCTGTAGACAATGGTCATCTGAACATAACCCAGGAGCTTACCAAGAAGCGGGCTGCAAAGCTTCCTGAGGAGTGTCGAAAGAGCAGCAGACCGGATCCACCACACCACAGACACAGAGATAGCTCCTCACGGGGAAGCAGAGCTCTGAAGACGCCCACCCAGCTCCTAGTGTCCTCCTCTTCTGCTCCCATAAGGCTGGGCCAGGGAACCCAGGTGGAGACTTCACCACCCTCTTCTAGGACTCTATACACATGAGCCAGATTCCACTGAGCACACCACGGCAAGTTCTCTGGGCCGCCTTTTATGTGGCAATCTAAATGGTGTTTCAATTTACATGAATCACATAAAAGATGGTCTAAATTATTAAAAGAAGAGCCGTAATGGTAACACGGAGTGGGATAAGATAAGCAGCACTTCTCCCTTAGCGCCCGCCTTGGGTCTGGGCCCTCATTTGTAAAACTCTAGAGGGAGCCATGCTGGAAATACATGCAACATAGACATCACTGACAGGACAGCAAAGTCTCATGGGTAAAAATCAAGGCATTTTGTAAAAACAGGCCAATCCTCCTCGTCCCACTCTGGGCAATTTACTCCAAGAATTTTATTGAAAATAAATTCGATTTGAGTAATTACAGGAGATAAACCATGTTAGTGTTCTCCTTTCCCCTGTACTGATGAATTAGAGCGCACAAAAAAACCTCAATAAAAATGATGGCAAGGCTTATGAGCATCACTCAGACTTTTCCTAGTCACTTCCATTTCATGAAACTGCCATTGCCATTAAACCATTACGTAAACAATGGGATTTTAGTCCGCAAACATGCATATTTATTACCAATGAATTTAAACATTGCTTATATAAAATACAAAGTCAATTTCACAAATGAAATCTTCAAAAGTTAAGTTTTTTTTTTCTTTTAAGAGATGGGGGGGGGGGGAATGATTTGTGTCTCCAGAGCTGGAACACATCACTTCCTTTAATTACTTTCTTCCCTGTCATCCATCCCTTGGTCCAGATGTCTGTGTGAAATTAGAAACCACACATCTCCAGCATGAATGAGCACAGAGAAGCAACCCCAACCTGAAGTAAATTCCCAGAGTGCTTTGACACTTTTTTCTTCACTGTAACAGGCTGAATGGGTTCTTCCTTCCCCGTTACAGCTGTGTGCACCTGCGGGCACTTATTAAGGTTGATAAAGATGCTCATGAAACAGCATTAACTAACAGAATATGAACTCCTCCACCTGTTCTCAGAGGGATTAGATCCAGCTAAGCATGGCATAAACCACCCCGCACCCTCCCCAGGCCTTGTGGCTTGCTTCTCTGTCCTTTTAAATTACTTAAGAAAGTAAGGTCTGAATTCCACTTGTTTGAGAAAGCAAAGAACACAGACCCAGAAGGAGTATTCATATTCACATCAGGGGATGGGGAGAATGGTTGTTTTGTTGCAGGCCACAGCACACAAGCTCAGACTTCAAGCACTATCTTGAAGCTCCAGGTGCTGAGATCTCTCCAGAGACACCCAGATTCAAGCCAGGAACCAGTGGCTCACAGGTGCAATCCCAAAGACCCAGGCAAGAGGGCTGTGAGTTCAAGGTCAGACTGAACTACACAATGCACAACAAGAAATTCCAGGCTATGGTGTAAGGTCCTGTCTCAAACAAAGCAAGACAAGAAAGCTGGGTAAGTTTATGAATCAGGAAATACCCAGATAATATGTAAGCGCTCCCCCAGCCTTTGCAAGGTCCGAGCACTTTGTGGTGGCAGGTGCCCAGAGAGCATCATTAACACAGAACTCCTCCTGCCAGAAAACCCAAACTCCAACTCAGCAAGGCAGCAGCTGAAGAGTTCACATCCAGCAACTATAAAGGCCAAAGTGAGCTCAGCCTGGGCCTTTCTCATCTGCAGAGGTCAGTGTCTCTCAGGGCTCTGCCTGATAGGTGGCAACACTACATGTTGAAGCCTAATGATGCATTCAATTCTACTAGAAAATAAAGACTAGCAGTGCCTAATAGAGCTGGGCATGATGACGCATACCTTTAGTCTTAGCACTCAGGAGGCAGAGGCAGAGGCAGGGGAATCTCTTTGAGTGAGTTCAAGGCCATCCTGGTCTAAAAAGTAAGTTCCAGGCCAGCCAAGACTACAGATGGGGCACTGTTTTGCAATGAGTAAGTTAATAGATCCTAAATAAGACTCCTGGAAGGTAACGTGTAAGAAAATCTAAACGACATGGGACTTGGGTGGCTTTTTAGGAAGGAAAAAAAAAAAAAAAAAAAAACAAGCATGGTGGAACCCATGGAGGAAAGAAGTGATGGGCTGGGCTTCATTAAAATGCCAAACCCATGGTCTGGGCTGGGGCTCTGCCGGAGCACAGCTGCCTGACACTCAAGAAACCTGACTCCCATTTCCAGCACTGAAAAGTCAAAAATCCCCAACAGGCAGGAAGCAAAGGCAGCTAAGGAGCAGGGGGAGGGCTATCTGCGGAAGGAGGGCCTGGGAAAGGGTCGTCTGCAGAACAGGCAGAAACCTCTTAAACGTGACGGTGAGAGAATGCACCACCTGGTTTGAAAATAAACAAAAGAGATGTAGACTTCTCACCACAGACGAGCAGAGGGCCAGGGGCACACGGGGAGATGCTCACACTTTACTCTTAGGAAAACACAGGTTGAAGACAGTGGGGT